CTAGCTCAAGAGCTAGATATAGTTGTCTCTCTTGATTTTTGAAAATCAATGATGATTTGGTTTTATGATTTAAATTTTGATTTATGATTTCTTTTGGTTGATTCGTTTTCATTTGAAAACTTTTTGTATGATTCTCATGTTCCTCTTCTTTTGATTTCATAAATCTATTCTTTTATATGGTATTTATATTTTTGTGTTAATGAGACACTTCTTTTATATTAACATATTTATATGTGTTCTTATTATCTTTTTTGTATGTGAGTTATGCTTAGTATGTTTTTTAATCTTTGCTTTCTCACATATGTATGCCTTAGCATTCATTACATATATTCATTAAGGTATTTTGATAGGGGGAGTAATCCCTATATCTTTCTATGTGTTATACTCACCTATGCTTATTGATAGGGGGAGCTTTCGCTCTCTTCATTCTTGGTGTTTTCCCCTTTTTGATGTTGTCAAAGGGGGAGAAATATTGTGAGTATATTCTTTCTTGTTTATATGCATGTGAATTATAAATTATATATTCATTTACTTCATGCATATATTTTTTTTGTAAATTGTTTGTCATCATCAAAAAGGGGGAGATTGTTGGCCTTCTTGCTTTGATGATGTTTAACAAACAATTTACCACTAATTTTGTTTGTCAAGTATTTGTGCTTTCTTATTTATTATAGACAAACAACGAGTTGGAGGATGGATGGAATAGAGCTTCAACAATGATATCCAATGGAGGTTGGCGGAATAGTGATTGAAGCCTATGCAATTCAAGTTGAAGATCCAAGTTCAAGCTTCATCCGCAGAGTGTACCAAGTCAAGCTTATTGAAGATCAAGATTGCTTGGGTAAATTACTTTAGGGCTTATATTATGTGTGTTAATACTTCAAGCTCAATATCACACACACACACACACACACGTTTGGTTTGGTTTATCGTCGTTTTGGATTATAGACTTAACAACATTATTTTATATCTTTTATCAAGTTTATAAATCTATTGGAAAGTTTTCAAAACTTTGTTTAAACTCATTTTGTCAAGATCAAGCTTTTACAAGTCCATACTTATGTGATTTTGTAAAATAATGAGATTCCACAATTGGGAAATGCAAATTGAAAAATTCTTTTTTGTAACATGTTCAAAATCACATTTGCAAACATTTCCCAAAGTTTCATCAAGTTTGAAATTGATTTGTTACGTTTAATTGAATTTACAAAATCATGTTTTTCGTTCGTGCATGTTCGTGCATGTTTTTACAAAACAGATGCGTTTTCACAAATGGGAAGTGATATTTAATAAATTTTTTCTTTGAAATGTTTATCTATATGTTTAGAAACTTTCCTCAAAATTTTATCATTTTTGGAGTTGATTTACTGTGCCCAATTGATTTTACAAAATCGTGTATGTTAGCAGATTTTCAGAAACTGTATATCTGTGTTCAAACATTGATTTATCTCAAATAAAAAAATATTTTTCAGAAATTCTTTCTCTAAAATATTCTTCTACATGTTTATAAGCTTCCCTCAAAGTTTCATAATTTTTGGAGTTGATTTACTATTTTTAATTGATTTTACAAAACCAGATACGTAAATTTCCAGAATGCTGAGTTTAGGGGTATTTTGGTCTTTTCAGCCTATAACGGCTAGTAACGGCTAGTTTTTGATATTTTCGGTTTTTGGGAGTTTGTGGATAGTTTAAGAGGCTATAAAAAGCCCTCAACTTTCATTGTTTCTTATGGATGTTTAAGAGAGTTTTAAAAAGAGTTTTACAAGTTTGTTGAAGGGTTTTTAAGTTTGTTTCAAGAGTTTGTTTGTGAAGAAAATTCCACAAGAGCTTGAGGAGATCATCTATTGAAGTTTGAGCTTCCAACTATTCTCCCTCCACCTCTTGATCTATTGAGAAGTTTTCTAAACTCTTATCTAGCTTTACATTTTTATTAATTTTCATATTCTTATTATTGCTAGTTTGCTATTTGAGTTAGATTTGATTTTACTCATTGTTTACACACACACCCACATGATCTTATTGTATTTTTATACATAGTATATTTAGGTTGGTGAGAGTTGTAACAATTGAGTGTGAGCTTTCATTGTGTTCTCATCCATAGTAGAGAGCAAACATTTATTATATTAAGCCTAATTGTGAGGATACACTTTGTAATACACTTGTACACCGAGAGGAGTGTGTGGTGAGAGTCGGGGATCGTCCCAAGAGGAGTGGCGTCGGTTGACGAACCTAGGGAGAGGTTGTAACCGAGCACTTGAGGGAGACACGGCTGGGTCCAACACTTGTGAGGGTGTAGAGTATGATTGCATAGTGTTTGTTGTGTGAGAGTTTTCGGTAAGCTTGTAAACCGAGTGTGTAGAAGTTCTGGCTTCCAAACCGGATTGTGATAGTGGATTTCTCCTCGGGAGTGGGGAGCGGAGACATAGGACGGAAGGTCCGAACTCCGTGATCATATTGCTTGTTTGAGTTTGGCTTAGCACACTTATATTTGTTTATCTTTATAGCCTTTCTCTCATTGTTTATTTCATCCACTATATCATTTGTTTATGTTACCCTTGTGTTTGCATATCCTTGCATATATCATATAGTATACCTCTTTGCTAGGATATATCACCTTGTGTATATTGCATATTCTTGCACTTAACTCTTTGTATATCTATCTTGCAAGAATATATTTATTAATTAGTTTTAATTGGCATAAAATCGGATTAGATTAGCATAAGACCCTAATCACCCCCCTCTAGGGTCTAACAGCTCCAAGCCCAGCGCACCCCAATTCTCCCAGCCCACCTCCAGAACCATCCCATCCGCCAGTCACAGTTCACCGTATGGCCACCCGAAGCCAACACGGGATTTTTAAGCCCAACAGAAAATTCCACAACTTAAGTGACATGTCTCCCTTCACTGCTTCCATCTCTCCTCTCCCTCGGAATCCAGTGAGTGCACTTCATGACCTGAATTGGAAAAATGCCATGCAAGATGAATTTAATGCTCTCATTGAAAATAAGACGTGGTATTTAGTTCCTCGTCCTCCTAATGTTAATTTAATTCAGTCAATGTGGATTTTTCGACATAAAAAGAATTCTGATGGTTCTTTTGAGCGGCATAAAGCCCATCTTGTAGGTGATGGCAGGTCTCAAAAAGCTGGAGTTGATTGTGCTAAAACTTTTAGTCCAGTTGTCAAACCGGCAACTATTCGGACTGTGTTGAGTATTGCTTTAACAAAATCATGGCCCATTCATCAGTTGGATGTTAAGAATGCATTACGGTTTATATGCATCAGCCAATGGCTTTCAAAGATCCGATATTCCCTGACTATGTATATCTGTTGAAGAAATCTTTGTACGGCCTTAAGCAAGCCCCACAGGCTTTGTATCAGCGTTTTTCCGAATATGCTGCAAAGTTAGGCTTTACTCACAGCTGTCACCCGTAATGCCAACAGTCTTTTTCTGTCTTAGAAGACCTATGCCGAAGACATTCTCGAAAGAGCAGGTATGACAGGCTGTAAACCTTGTCCCACACCCGTTGACACGAAAGGCAAACTTAGTGCATCGGAGGGTGCACCACATGATGATCCTACTAAATACAGGCAACTAGAAGGTGCTCTACAATATCTCACTTTTACTCGGCCTGACATATCCTATGAAGTTCAACAGATTTTCTTACATATGCATGATACGAAAACCGGACATACGGAAGCTCTTAAATGTATCCTCCGATACGTTAAGGGTACCATAACACACGGCCTGCACCTCTACAAATAAAAAATTGATTCTCTTGTTTCATATACGGATGCCGACTGGGGTGGGTGTCCGGACACACGCTGTTCTACATCCAGGTATTGTGTATTTCTCGGGGATAATCTGCTCTCATGGTCATCTAAACGACAACCTACATTGTCAAAATCTAGTGCCGAAGCAGAATACCGTGGGGTGGCTAATGTAGTCTCTGAGTTGTGCTGGATTCGTAATTTGCTACTTGAGTTACAATGCCCGGTTTAATAAAGCCACGTTGGTATATTATGATAATGTTAGTGCCATTTATTTATCAGGTAACCCGGTACAACACCAGCGTACCAAACACATTGAAATGGACATTCATTTTGTTCGAGAAAAGGTCCAACGTGGCGAAGTACGTGTTCTACATGTCCCTTCACGATACCAAATTGCAAACATCTTCACCAAAGGACTTCCACGCGTATTATTCGATGATTTTCGGGACAGTCTAAGCGTACGGCTACCTCCCGCTTCGACTGCGGGGGTGTGATAGAATATAATCTTTGACAATATTCTTGTAAATATTCTAAATATTAGATTGATATTATTTTACCTAATTTAGTTAAGCAAATATTCTCTGTCAAAAATATCCCTTGTAATTAGTCAAAGGTATCCCTTGTAATTAGGCTAATATCATGCTCATAACCTTGTATATATCACGGATGAACTGAGGAATACAACAGGGAATTCCATCATCTTTCAATTGCAGACAAACATTAGTGATAAGTAAACAAAGATATCAATTCCCTTCCTTCCTCTCACCTAGAACTGCAATAAGATCTTAAAACTACTCCGAAACTAAAAACTTTTTGATTGTATTGTACATAACTACAAATACCAATTTACTTTATAAACACTCTAATCTGTTTTACGATTCCAGTCAAAGAATACTAATGTTTGTCATAACTAATGCATATGAAAGATAAAAAATTATGTTAGCTTCCCTTTAAGGCAATTTTGACATGTTCAAAAGCCTAATTAAAGTTGGTATATTTTGCAGTTTTTTCATAAGGAACCATAAAAAGGCTATAATCGTGTATTTTGTCCAACATGAACGGGGAAAAAAATCAAAATTCTTGGTTTGGCAGAAAATAATAGCTATTTTAAGGCTTAAGGACTGCATAAAGAGTATTTCTCAGCGAAAATCAAAATCTTTAAGAACCTTAAGCAAAGTAAATAATGCATAAAGATTTGAAGGCTAGTTTGGCAGGAAGGTTGTCTTACCAAATATATCCATTCCAAGATGACTATAGATTGGTGAAAAGAACCCATCCACAAAATGAATAAACCACCAAGTAACATAAAATGTTATGGCTATAGGAGACAGAATTACACTGTAAAAATAGAAGAAAAACATTAGCATATGTATAGTTGCACAATAAAATCAAAACAAATAAAATCTTCTTATGCTAATGTTAGAAAAATGTATTTTATGCATATGTTAAATGATGACAAACGCCTGGATAAAGCTAACGGAATTACTAGAATTTAACTTAACTGTTTCCAAAAAGTACTAAAATTAGGTAAAATATTTGTGTTAGTAGCCTCAGGATCCAGCTTATGAGTGGAACCATCAAGTTCGGGAAGAGTAGTTAATAAAATTCAGAGAAGAAAGAGGATCTCGCAGATATAATCAAAATCACTCAAAATGAAGAAGAAAACCCTAGGCTTTGTTGATTCACTGCATAGGTTTGAAAACCATAACTTGATCCGTTTTCTATTTCAAAAGTTACATAAACATATCTTCCACTTGAATCACACCAAGTTCAGAGAAATCTTGGAACTTCTTTTTCCTTTCTCTAGTCACCAAGCTAAACTATGGAAGTTATCAAAACGATTCCCTTTATTTGGTTAACTGGTTTTCAAGATTTAAGACAAGTCCTACTATTGGCTGGAACAAGTTGGCGCTAAGTGGGATAATTGTTCTAATAGAACAATTTTATCCCTTTGAGATATTTTGAGCGGGGAAAAATGGGACAAGTTGATATAATGAGACAATTTAAAACTTTGATTTGATAATTCATGTAGGATAATTAATAATGTGACACCTTATTAAAATATAATGTTTATTTATCAGTTAAGTCTAAATTAATTTATTCAATTGGTTTAGTATATTATTTAGTATGTCATTATAATATAATACATTATTTTACTTTATACTAAAATATAATATGTTATATTATAATTACTAATTAATTAGAACTATGTTTAATGGTATTAATTAATATATTATATTATATTATAATAATATGATATATTATATAATAATTTATATAATATATGAAAAATATATTTGATATAATATTTCAATAAAATACTA